CAGGCAAGCTATTAAAGCCTGAGTCATATCTGAGACTAAACGTGAATTTACTGTATTTGCTTACTTGGCCATTCTTGAATCTGTCTCTTGGAGAGGTGTCCTGGTCAAATAATCACAACATTCCTAGGACCATTCAAGCTGGAGGTTTCTATTACATGTCATCTCCATTTCTATTGCCCTATAGTTCTGATCAGTCTGCATCCAGACAACCCAATAAAGGTGAAAAAGTAAGTAACCAAAGTATCTAAAACTGCATATCTTGTGTGAGCGCCAATGTTATGGAAAAGAATTTGAAAATCTTACTCACCAGAGTATCTTATTTGAGTACAGGTGCAGCACAAATGGCAGTATGAACACATACTGCAACATAATCAAAAACCAACCAATACCCATGTACTGGAAATACTACGTTATCTATAGTTGCTATCTGCCAAAGTTTGTGGTAATTTGATTAAACATAAATGTATATTAGGAATATACAGTATACGGGCACATATCAATTAGATGCAATAAAGGTTTTAAAACTGATTTGTGACAGGTTATTTCAGAAATACATAATGTATGACCTGCCTAAAGACCGTTAATATTTCAGTTCATATTGTGCTTTGTTGACCCTTTCAAAAATCAACAGCAGTGTGTCTTTCCAGAAACAAAGGCCGTTATTCTGGATAATCCACAAAGATGATTTTCAGAGGGACTATGTTTTCAGTAGAAACGAGTTTGTTTGAAAACCGCTCTGTGTATTTTGGGAATAATTCAGGAGTGAGAGGCCACTGTTTCTCTATAAAGTTGGTGTCAGTGCTGTGAGCACCACTCACTAGATTCCATGCACCACCACTTATTTGGCTGGAGGCTGACACCTGGACAAATGAAACCCGAACTATCTGCATAGGGTATTATCACCAGAGAGAAATGAAAGATATGCTTTTGTAACAATTTAAATCCCTATTCAGTCAATTTTTGACTGTATAAAGAACATACTATAAATTCACATGTTTGTCTGTTTAACCAAATATTCTGGCTCAGTGAAAGACAGTAACAATAACTTGTGTTCATTTGGCCCTGAAATGTGAATGTTCAGAGGATGGTTTCTAATCATTCTGGTGAGCACCTTACCTTTCCTCCAGCATCACCATCAGGCCAACATGTCTTTTAGTGCAGCAAAATTTCAAAATCTAACAATCCTTGGAATTTACCGAGCACACTTCTCAGATGGACCCACAGAACTTTCATCAGAAAAAAACCTTCTAATGTCGACACCAAGACAAAATTTGCACGAGGACTCATGACTGTTTAAGGTTTCTAACCATAGTTATGCTGCAGGGGGAAACCACACAGTAGGCCACAGTGTGCATGCCAGTGATATTTGTTATAATTAGGAAACCTCTACTGGCTGCTGTAATCATGATTGGAACAACAGCCACCAATAGTGGTGTCACGCTAAGAGCAACAAATCACAGGATTTTGAAACGGAAGACAGCTGTCTGTTTTCCATTTCAGCTAGGTGCTAATTTGAACCCAAACTTAAACCTGATATGCTCCACATATCATGTGCTCTTATACAGCACTCTTCTACGCATTGACACACACTCAAAGCTCTTTATATTATTTCCAATTCACCCATTTGCACACAGATGTTCTCTCAATTGCATATTGGTGACATCACTGGCAGCAAATTGGGGTTCAGTGTCTTGCCCAAGGACATTTTGACATGTAGACTGGAGAAGCCGGGAAACAAACCGCCAACCTTCCGGTTAAAAGCCGACCTGCTCTACCTCTTGAGCCACAGCCGCCCTGCAATTTCTTATTGTAGCCATGAAGGCAAAGGTGAAGAGCCTACTGAATTCACTAGGAGGTGGAGTAGGGCCCTACTAATACACATTTATGTTCCAGAAAAACAAATGCTAACAGCTAGTGACAGATCACATTCAAGGTAGGTGTCTCCATTAGCTAAAGAGCATACTGATCACCCACACACATACTTGTACTTCTATCTGTGTGAGGACACTCATTGACATAATGCATTCCCTAGCCCCTTACCCAAATTCCTAACACTTAACCATCAAAACTAAATGCTTCACCCTAACCCTTCCCCCAACCCTAACATAAACCTAATTCTAACCTGAACTCTAAAACCAAGTCTTAACTCTCAAGAAAGTGTTTCAGAAAATGACGACCAGCCAAAATGTCCCCACTTACCAAAAATGGCCTCAGTCTGTAGCAAAAAAACAAACAAAAAAAGAAAACTTTTTTGGTCCTCACCATATAGTGAGTACAAGAACACACGCACACATCAAAGCATCATGGTGTTGGCTAGCAGTATGAGATCACACTGCCAATCCAAGTCCTCTCTTTTCCAACTCTCCTCACATTCCTACATTCCATCATCACTGAGAGATCAGGAGGAAGGGTGGGAATGGAAGATGGGAAAGGGGTGGAAAGGTCATAACAGGAGGGGAGTGAGAGAAAAAAGAAGAGATAATGGAGGGAAAGACTGTCAAGGCAAGAGGAGGAGAGGGGAGGGGGAGGGGAGGAGAAAGTGAGGAGCGTGAAAGAGGGATCATCAGAAGATATCAAAGACCTGAAAGAAAATATGCTTTTGTTTATAAAAACATTTTCATTTCTTCTCATTGGAATGTATTTTTTATCTGGAAGGCTTACATGTTGTTTAGTAACTACAGCCTCTTACATAAGTATGTAGGGGCCCTGCCACACACACACACACACACACACACACAGGCCCCAGTACCAGCTGGTACTGAATGTGATTAGGAACATTTAGCACAGAATATAAATCTGAAGAAGGAGGGGAGGAAGAAAAGAAAGAGGTGAAAAGCTCAACTAAAACACAACTGAAACTTCGTTCCATACTAAACCATTTCTACATATCATCTGTACCCTGAACTCTAAAAGTCTCAGTGTTTTGATAAATTCTGAAGATAATATTTCACCTGTGTGATGAGCTAAAATTTGGAGAGTAACTAAATATTTCCTTTTCTTCAGTTTACTCGGTTGTAATTAAGTTTGTCTGCAACATTGTTCACCACGTGGAACACAGAGGGTGACTCCTAGCTGACAGTTTTTGACACTGACAACACCTGAGAAAACAAAAGACATAAGACAAAAGTCCCAGGCAATGGCATGTATCAGATGACCTCAGACAATAGCTTTTATACCTTTTTATAGCTTTTTATACCAGCATTAATGGATGGGATAGTAAGACAGTCTGTCTGAGTAAAGCCCTGCTCACTGTTATCTGGGCTCCCATGACTTAATCCTATGTATATCAACAAGGATTATTGGCTTTAGTCTATGAACTGTGTAAAGACTGCAATGGAAATGAAAACTATGTCACTTGGTAGTAGTTGTCAAAAACAGCACCCATGGACTGATTCAAAATATTTGGTTTCAGTCCTCTCTAGAAACATTCCTTGGGATTTGGACAGTTATTCTGACAAAAACACAGACTATTAAATCCAAAATGCAGACATAGGGGTTAAGAGTTCAGGGTTGTAGCTACTGTAGGTGCAATGCCAAAATAATCATTTTATGAAGAAAATGATACTGAGACAATCTCAAGACAAGTTTTTTTGCATTGTTCAATTTGCAATTGTCTGTCCTGCTCAAGTGGTTTCCACCACCATTGTAACCAAACACTAAAACCACTGCTGAAATGTTGCAGTGTTCAAACACCCACAGGACAGTTAACCCCAACCCAGATTCTCTCTTAAAATATAAATATTTTACCACAAGGTTTACAATATACAGTAGTTTCACCTCTCACAAGTGTCTTTGTAAGGAAAAGAAACAATGATTTGTTCAATGAGCTTGATTCAAAGCTGTGTACACTCATATTGTTGATGGCTGCATTTTGGGCCAAAAGACTAAACATGGTATATAGCCTATGATTTACATTTTGTGTTTATGGATGGCTGCAGAAACTGTAATAGCTTTCATGAGTAGTTTTAGCAGGAGATGAACTTGTGAGGTTGATGGACTGAGCTTTTTTTCATGGGGACAGGGACTATGAAACTTAGGTTTTAACAGTGGTTTGATGTGGCTTCCATTCTCTCCATATCTGAACTATTTGTGACTTTTACATTATAGTGCTTATCCCTGCAGAGTAGCTACTGTGCTGGATGTAGGTACACTGCTTATGTAGTCACAGTGACACACACATGCACACACCCACACATACACATACTTTACCCAGTCAGGTAAAACAGCCGGTCCCTGTACAGGAACATTCCCGGACATGCAGTAACCTCAGGCCCTGTATTTTTCTCCACAACCTCTGGTCACAGCAGGAGGGAAAATATATCCACAAAACCACATGCAGTTGAAAAATTCTGCTTTTACAATGGCACAGTGGAAGTCAGGCAAGCTCACACAAACGCCTGGAGATTAAGGCCATTCATTTTTTTGAGCTTTAGGTCACATCTAAGATGATAATTCACTGTTGTAACATTGTAGATAAGTCAGAAAACAAGCAGAAGCATGCCATGGGCTCTTTAACAATCAAAAAAAGTGAGGACCAGACAAAATGTCCTCACTTGTCAAAAATGACCTCCCTCTGTAGCAAATAAAAGAACACACAGACATAGACACAGAGTCAAAAAATTGTAGCCTATGAATTTACAAACTTTGATGTGAAATAAGAGTGTTAGGCTACATCTTAATCAATAAGCTGTTGTCACCTGATTATAGTGTACAATTAATGGAAAACATGACAACAGCCTACAATAGGTTGCTGTTTTGCTCAGTTATGGTACAGTTGTCAAATTGTGCTTGGGACCTCATATACATGAGCAGGAGTACTAGTACTCCTGTAGGTGTAAGATTCGAAGCAGCTGGCTACTACAGTAAACAGCGGGGTGTTACTTTCTAGCAGACGTGTTATGAACGTGTAGTAGTGATAGGGTTGTGTTGTTATTAGTCCAGCGTCATGCCCCGCCCCCTCTGTCGTCGTCCAGTCTCGTCACGTTGCGGGAGGAGAACGGGTTACACTGGCACTTCATATCCCATACTGGATTTAATGGACGCTACCTGTCGCGAGCGCTCCCTGTGTTGGTTATGTCCGCGTCGTAAGCACCGGATAACAGCGCGCTGACACGGGACGGCGCGAGACAACCAGCATCTACAGCGGGCTGTTCTTTAACAGAGTGTTGACGGAAAACTGATAACTAGAACACAGGTGAAAGGACCGCTTCTGCTATCATCGCCTGCTTTATGTTTCCAACTATTTTTTTCTTTTATCTGACGAAACAACAACCATAATACCGGTGGATGGTTTTATCCGCAGTGCCTCGGCCAAACAGCCAATCGGGGAGCAAAATGTCAAGGCAGCAGCAGCAGCAGCAGCGGACGCCGTTAAAAGTCACCGACACCGTGGTGGAGGTCAAGAGCAAAGTGAGTGTTGGACTAATGCGGATGTTTGACTGATAATTTTAGTGTTAATGGGGAGATACGGGGTCTTTAATTCCGGTATGCCAGTGCACTGCCAACACCGACATAACCTACTGCTGTCGTTCAGATAAGAGACGTGATTTCTCTCCCTTCCACTCACTGACAAACACACCGACACCTGCGTTTTACCGTTCGACACAGGTAATTCGGAGCAATTATGATGTGAATGTGGTTGGGGTGCAGCTGACAGCGGGCCTGGGTGCGCCTACTGTACACAGTTAACAGGCTACCCGACCGGAGTCCGCCGTCGTCCGCCTGTCCGGTCAATTCTGCAGTTATTCCATTGCCACCACCCCCAAGTCCAAACACCGATTCTGTCATTCAGTCTGTTTAGCCTGGACACGCATATATGTAGTAGCCTTCGGCTTAATCATGTGTAAAAGAAGTATTTAGCTCCAGCGTTTACTCAAGTAGGTGTATTCTGGTATACTTATGGAAAAGTAGCAATGTCTCAGAATAAAAATACTCCATTACAAGTAGACCTAATTGTGTAAACACCTGCATTCTTACTTTAAGTAACTGAAATAAAATATAGGAGAGGCTGCTCAAACGGTCAGAAGTAAAAGTAGCCTACTCTTTTTATGCTGTGGCCCATGTCAGTCTGTTATTATATTAGCTATTGGATAAATATTATTGATGAAATAACATCTAAGTGGCTTTTCAACGTTATAAGGATCAATATATTTTTAACTTACTTTTTACTTTTGGGTGGATTATGGATCTTATAATGTGAAGTGGTGATAATATGTCAAATCTTAATCTGGGTGACATCCAGCAGGGCCTGGAGGTAATTTCAGCAAAAAGAATCCAAACTGTTGAGTAATTTTAGATAGAAGTACTGTATGTTCTGGGTCAACCCACATTTGTACAATCACCCCATTAGGTCACGTTCTAAGGCCATATTCAGACAAACATTTATATAGGAGTTGTAGTGATGAAGTTAAAACTTGGTGTTGTCCTTTACTGTGGCATTCTTTCTGTGATTAAAATAAAATATTAGACAGATAAATAGCACTGTGTAGGGCTGAACATTTTCAAATTGAAATTGTAATTTAAACGGCCATTAATATGTGGCTTTAAATAATTTGATTGGTATCTCTGCAGGTTTCACTCTGCCCTGCTCCGCAGGCTTCATGAGAAACCTGCAGAGTAAATGAGTGAGTGGAACAAGAAAAACTACATCAAAAAGTTTCACTTTGATACTGCTAGCTGCACTGAAATAGCCACAGAAGTCAACAAAGCCAAAGGTTACTGACCAAGCGACAACACAACAACACAAACATTCATGTCAAAGTGAAACAATAGGTTATGTCGGCCCTCTGGGCCTGCTTTGGTTTTACACCACAGGATGCATGGCAGGAACATGCTGAACATGCCTGGCTAAGGTGCGACAGTGCGAGGCAACACCACAGATTTCTTGCAGCATTAAAAAACACAGGTTTCCTTACCTCTGTTTCTCTCCACTAGCTGTCTGGGAAAACATTTCAATGAGGAATTATAAATCAGAGGAATCAGAAATATATATTCCTATATTCTTTAGCAGTGCAAGCTGGTAGGCATCAAATGTAACAACATGTGCTGGTGGTTAACTGACAGCTTAAACCTGTTGGTAAACTAGGCTATGACCATGTCCCAGAAGAAAAAAAAAAGTGCCTGTAAGAGCATTGAATACAAGTGTGAGCAGGTGAGTGGAGTGCTAGCAGAGCACAAGCGGGCGGATTTTTTAAAAAGGAGGGAGTGTCATCCGATGTCCCACTCCAATTTCGCTCCGGTGCCACTCACACCACGAACCCGAAGCTTGCCCAAGCCTGACCCAGAATGTTGGTCTTGTGTCTTGTACAGTTCTTGTTCAGTCAAAAATCAACCATTGCGAATTCAGTAATGGAGTTCCTAAAGACCTTTAAATTGGAAACTGAAGGGTCATACACGTGTGTGTGTGTGTGTATGTACACACAGTATTTATATATGTGTGTGTATTTTAATTAGGACCTTGATTCATTGAATTTTACATTCCTTGTTACACAGGCCTAACTGTAATTAGAAATTTCTATTTTGAAAAAATAGTTTTTTAGTTCTTTTGGATATAAGGCTATGGTTTAAGCTAAAAGTGAAATACTGCAGACTTTTTGTCCTTTTTTGGAGTGAGTGGGTGTGATTTGAGTGGAGCGGGATGTAATCTGAGTTGAGCGCTGAGTGATAATGAGTGGTGCGGCTTTGAGCGGGGATGCAGAGCGGGCAAACAGCTCAGTGAGCGAGGAGCGGAAATTTTCACCTCTCCACACATACTGTATGCTTTAGTGAATAGAGCTGAGTCGAGTTGAGCCAGTACGAGGTGGTGGGAAAGGGGGCTTATGAGTCATATCCAGCATCGGGTTTTGACCTTCTGCCACATGTCTTACAAATATATAAAAAGGTCTTGGACCACATGGTATAGACATCACATACATGTCTTTCCAACATTGGGTGTTTGCTGGGTGACTTAAAACTTGACAAACAATGAACTAGGAAATCACTACATCTTGTAACTGCACATTAACTTTCTTTTGATAAGATATTACAATGCATGCTTTCCTGCATTTACACCAGCATTCTAACAAGACACAAGTTGTACCAGCTGTTTCTCCTGCTGCTGCACTCTGAACTGCTGGACCTGCTGCTTCGGCCCTCTGTCTCTCCACCAGTTACAGTAGCTTATGTATATTTTATTTAGTCTTATTCTGCACATTTTTTCAAACCTAAATATTGTACTGTTATCATTTAAGATACATGTAAATTCTGTGCACAACACAGCATAGCCCCAGAACTACAGATTGATGGGAGGCCAGATACTGCCAACAGCTTTGTATCTGTATGTGTGAACGCACGTGTGACTGATTGCATTTTCAGTGGTTTTTGTGTATGCTGATGCAACGTTGTTAATAGGAATAGACCAGCAGCCTGCTACAGTGAGTATTCATGTTCAGAATAGACTTGATTGGTGGATTTCTTAATTTGCTTTCCTACCAGGCTGTTTTCTTCATGATCTGAAAGATGCTGGTTAGTACTGTAGTATTAATAATGGTTCAGTTTACTTGTGCATACCAAACAGCTTGTTGAAAAAGCCCAAGAATGGATTAGTGATGTGAAATTATGAAACACAGTGCACACAGTGTCCTGTGAAGTGTTTATCTGAGAACACTTTCAAAAGTTAATGGACACCTAACTCGTCTTATCAAATAAAGAACAGAATAGAGCAACACCCAGGCAGACAACAATTAGATAATAATAATCACCTTTATTTGCTTCTGAAATTGCTTCTGGTACAGAACTGAGGTAGCCATCTGCGGCACCAACTCAACCGATGGCTCTGACCATTGGGGGCAACTTGGGGATTCAGTGCCTTGCCCAAGGACACATCGACACATGGATTGCAGGCACTGAGATTTGAACCTCCAACCCTCTGGTTGGAGACGACTGCTCTACCCACTGAACCACTGTCGCCTTACATAAACATAAACAACATAACTTTCACAGTAGCTGCAGCCCACAAATATTAAATCAAAAAGACAGCCTCCAAAGTCAAGCCCCTTATAAACCGCCTTTTCAAGGTGGGATTGGTACACCTTTATTCTGTCTCATTTTCTGTCTGTAAGGTGCAAAGCCGGAATGGCGTGGTATTTTCGTTCTGCCTATGGTCCACCTTGGGAGGTACTATCAGAGGCGAAACAAAGGGGAGATGTGCTCTGTGTAGAAAGGGTGAGCTGGCAGTCCGGGACCAAGTGCTACATTTTGACGATGTCATATGTGCACAACACTATCAGCGTTGTCTCAAGTCTGCATGCCTCTCTGCCCCAAAGTGTTCTCAGCTTCTCTTTAACTTACAGGTCAAAGCATTCCTGGTGTCACAAACGCTAACAAATTTTGCATGAAGTGAAAAATTGCTTGAAGACCCAACAAGGCTGCATCCGCCGTTATTGTTTTGGTTTGTAGACTACTGGCACAAAATTTACATCACAGTTGACAGAGTGATGTCGCATCTTTCCTGTAGTGTGGAATGCCAGCCTGCGGTCTGAATTCACAGGCTGGCTTGTGATTATACCATCCTTTAACTGTAGATCATTGTATTCACAGAGAGAAATCTACTTGTTCATTTTAGTTGGTGTTTATATCACTCCCCAGGCCTTGCATTGCAAGGCCTGGCCAACCAGATAGCTAGCATAGAATAGAAACACCTGGACTCACTACTCATTGTTCTAGGGGGTTTTAACAAAGCAAATATCACCCACAAACTGTCCAAATACAGACAGCATGTCAGTTGTCCCATCAATAAAGGACGCCCTGTGCAGCACTTGCACTCTCTGATCACTGCATGGTCCATATATAGCTTGAAATGTGTATATATGTATATAATGTTTATGAATAGTGCCCCTTCTCCTTCTCTCATGCTTCTCCTACCTTTGATAGCACAGTTCTATTCTCTGTTGACTAAAACTGTTGCCTGAGAGCCTCAGTGCCAGAGACATATTCCTTGTATGTTCAACATACTTGGCAATTAAAGCAGATTCTGATACTGATTTCTCAGCCTTGGAAGATGCTGGTGGCCAGCCTAGCCTACCTAGAAAAGGTATTCACCCTCTTGGATGTTTTACCCTTTTATTGATTTTATATTTCAATCATGGTCAATATAATTTAACTTTTCTGAAAAAGAATTACAAAAAACCTCTTCAATGTCAAAGTGAAAACAGGTTTCTACAAAGCAATGTCAATTAAATAAAAATATGTAGTGGGAAATAAGTGATTGCATAAATATCCACTCCCTTTAAAATGACTGACCTAATTCCATAGAGGTCCACCCAACTGGTGCTAGTGGTCTCACAATTAGTGAAATGGGATCACCAGAGTGTAGTGAATGTGTCTCAAGTGATTGTAGTATAAAGACACCTGCTTCTGGAAGATCCAGTCAC